CCCATATGCAGACCGTTGCTCAGTCTGCCGAAGCCAAGAAGGCCTTCAACAAAGCACCAGAGAACCTCTAGCGTGCCAGAGACTCTCGTACTCTACATTGATCGATCACATCAGATCCTCTTTGCTGTTGGCTGATGAGTTCCGCCAAAGCCAAGCAGGCATAAGACTACTAGAGAATCCAATCTATCCAACAACCTAGCAACAATATTACCTTCATTGTTCATTTGTTGTTAACTAATCCAACTTAATGTTGTTAGATCTCAACCTCTTGATTATGTAATCCTAAACATTGATTGTAATTCTCTCTATAAAAAACTAGTGGGAATATGAATATAATGGATTGGCTCCAAATTATTAATTTACATGGTATCAGAGTAGTTTTTTTATGCCCCTTAATGTCTCCTAATTACTCAAACCCTCATGGCCGCTGAGGGTGGGCCATTAGTATTGTGCGTAGTGGAAATTTTGGCAGCACTTCTAGTGCACAACAAGATAGTAAGATCACAACTAAATCCCTGTTTCACAAAGAAAACAAGAATCGAAAGTAATATATCTCAACAAAGTGGGATATACACTCTTCATCTCATCAGTTCTAGGACTGGCTTGTCGAGGGAACCTACAAGCTATTACAAATCACAGCAAGACAAACTATTTTTTACGTGGTACAGTAAGTTGCATACGTCCACGGGGCAAGGAGGGGGAGATCTACTATTAGAGAGAAAGAAAATACAAATAGAGTTTACAATCACACAAGGTCTCACAAATAAAACCCTCAAACAATCTCTCAAAAGGGATGCACAAACTCTCTCAAAGTCGGCTCCAAATAGTGCTTAAAATCTCCTCCAAATCAGCCGAAAGTCCTCTGTACTTTGCTACAGCCGAAAAAAGATCTCTGCCATTTTTTTCTTTTTCTTTTTTTCCCTAGGAACTCACGTGAATATTTATAGCATGTGAGTGAATCGGGTGGGCCTGGCCTGCTAATCACGCGCAAAGAAGCGTTGTGGCCCCCACCCCTACTCATAATTCTCCACCTCGGTAAAGTTTCTTTCAAAACTGAGCCAGCACCAAAGCATCTAAATGTCCCACTTGTTATGTCCAATACGCCATGAAGTTGATTCACGACAACGGACTCAATCCATAATAAGTCGGGAACCCGAACGAGAGTCCAAACAATCTCACCCCCATCAAAATCAACTAATCCAATCGGCTGCATCGTAAAGATTGCCTATGTATCCTCTTGTCTAAGGAATCAAGCATGACGTAGTTCACCTAAATGGCCTTCAAAGGCCTCAACATCGAAGAATGTTCAAAGGCTCCAAACAATGACCAAACTTAACACCTAAAACAACTTTGGTCAACATATCCGCAGGGTTGTCCTTTGTGTGGATCTTCTCCAATATGACATCACCGTCATCCAAAACATCATGAACAAAGTGGATTCTGACATCAATGTGCTTCGTGCAAGCATGATATATCTAGTTCTTTGCTAAATAGATAGCTGACATACTATCACAATACACCCAAATGGTCTCCCGTGCAATCCCCAAGTCCTCCAACAATCCACGCAACCATAAAGCCTCTTTCACAGCTTCAGTCACTGCCATATACTCCGCCTCTATAGTAGAGAGAGTCATTGTAGACTAAAATGTACATCTTCAACATACCGGTGCTCCTGCCAATGTAAAACATATCCTGAAGTAGACCGGCGCTTGTTAAGTTCCCCCACATAATCTAGATCCACATAGCCAATACAATCATGTCCTGTCTTCTTATTCTTCTAAAAAATTAAACCAACATCCATGGTACCTTTGATATACCGTAGAATCCACTTTACGGCCTTCCAATGATCCTTCCTGGGGTCGTGCATGTATCTGGATACCATGCTCAGGGCATGTGATAAGTCTGGCCTCGTACACACCAAACATACATCAAACTATCCACCGTACTAGCATATAGAACCTTCGACATGTAATCTCTGTCTTCAACTGAAACAGGTGATATCAAAGTTGAAAGCTTGAAGTGGGGAACCAATGGAGTGCTCACTGCCTTTGCATTGCCATCAAAGATGAATTTTTTTAACATCTTCTGCAGATAACTCCTCTGTATTAGCTTCAATCTCCCCTTCGCCCTGTCTCTCTCGATCTCCGTACCCAATATATTCTTCGCCTCTCTAAGATCATTCATCTCAAACTCGGATGACAACTCCTTTTTTAACTTTCGAATAGCCGAAGAATTCCTGGAGGCAATAAGCATATCATCAACATATAGTAACAAATAGATGTACTCACCATCATGTAGCTTGTGCATGTAAACATGTAAGGACCATGAATTTTTGATATTAGTTAAAATAATTTTCTGGTATTTTAAAATATTTAATTATTATTTTTAAAAGAGTATTTATATTTTTCTTGATTTCTATAATTTTCTATGATTTAAAATCAAATTTTTATATTTATTTAAATGATTTTGATATTTATAAATTTATTTAGTGCAGTAAAAAAATTTGTGGAATTAATTTGTTGTGTTATAGGTACTATTACGTACCATTTGAAATAATACGTTGTATTATTTCTACTATTACATATAATTTTGTGTATTATGTTGATTTATTAATTATGTATTATTGTGTAAATTATTATATTATTTTAATTATTGCGTATCAGCTGTGGTATTAATACAACTGGTATGTTTTATTGTGTAGATAATTATCCCATAATTATTTGATTTTAAATATAAGAAATTATATTTTTTATTAATTATTTTTATTTAATTGTATAATTTCTTGTATTATTTCTACTGTTGTGTATTATCGGTTATATTACTACAACTGGTACGTTTTAATATGTAGATAATTTTTACATAATTATGTAATTTTTTCGTGATTATTATTATTTTTAATTAATATTTAAAAACCCTAATTTTCTCTCTCTCTCTCTCTCTCCCCATATCTCTCTCTCTCGTTTTCTCTCTCTTCTCTTTCTTCCCAAACCCGCCGCTAACCCCCGTTACCTCTCTCTCTCGACCTCCCTTTCGCAGCCATGAGCGTCGCCTTGCCGTCCTCCATTCCTCACCTTCTGCCACCCCCTCCTGTAGCCCACAAGCCACCACCGCCTCATCCGACAGCCAGCGAGCCTAGCGCCCGCCAGCTTCCCTATTCTCCAGCGCCCTCCTCCTCCTCACCAAACAGCCTCCGACCAGCCAACCGCCTCTCCGCGCTCTGTTCGCCGCTCTGAGTTAGCCTTGTCGACAGCCTCCCCCGCCAACCTTTTTCTCCCACCCCCAGCAACAGCGCCTCTTTCCTCCTCAGACCGTCGACCTCCTTCCCCTTGCAACCATCTCCGACCACCACCATCGACCACACTACAGCCCTTCACCTTCTGCCCTCCTCCTCCACCCCCCTCAACCTCCCGCTCCACCCAAGCTCCACCTCTCCCTCTACCCGCCGCCTTGGCCAGCCCCTTGTAAGGACCATAAATTTTGATACTAGTTAAAATAATTTTTTAATATTTTAAAATATTTAATTATGATTTTTAAAAGAGTATTTATAATTTTCTCGAATTTTTATAATTTTCTATGATTTAAAGTCTAAGTTTTATATTTATTTAAATAATTTTAATATTTATAAATTTATTTTGTGTGGTAAAAATTTCTAAACTTTATTTGTTGTGTTATCGGTACTATTACGTATTATTTTAAATAATATGTTGTATTATTAATATTATTACGTATTATTTTGTATAATACTTTGTATTATTAATTACGTATTATTTGTATAATTTGTTGTATTATTTCTACTATTACATGTTATCTGACGTATTTGTATAACTAGTACGTTTTACTGTGTATATAATTATCCCATGATCATTTGATTTTAAATGTAAGTAAATATATTTTTATTATTAATTATTCTCGTTTAATTGTACAATATGTGTATATTTTGACTATTTCGTATCAACTGTTGTATTAGAACAACATGTACGTTTTTATTTATAGATAATTATTTCGTAATTAGTTTAATTTTTAAGTACCCGTAATTATTTATTTTAATTAATTCGATTAAATTCCCTAACCCTAATATTATATATGTATACCCGTAACCAAAACCCTCTCTCCCTCTCTCTTTTTGTGTTACCCAACCGCCTAAGAAACCAGTCTCTCTCTCTTCGTTTTTCTCTCTCCTACGTTCTCCTCTCTCTCTCCTCTCGTGCTCTC